GATGTAGGATGCTGTTAATCTTTAGTTCATTTTCTTAGTCATCCGTTCATTAACCTAGCATCAGGTTCTGGAAAGTTAGAGATTGCCATCTGCCCCAGGGCTTTAAAGTTTGTAAATAGTGACCGATCTGAAGAAGGAAAAAAAAAAAAGGAAAGAAAAAAGAAATCCAATTATTGATTCATGAGCATAAAACAAAATGCCCTGGTTATTTTTTTTTTCTATCTTCAGAGAAGGTTTGGCATGCTACATGGAAGACTTTTACCAAGGATGTAATCAGCTGGATGGAAATAGCGTAGCACAAAGGAAAGAAACCAATAAGCTGAGAGGTACATTTTGCTAACTTGTTTGAGGCAGGTATTTACATTGGAGTAGGCACAACTGGAGTAGGTTTCCCACAGAAACACCCATGTCCACGAAATCATCAGAAGCCGCTGAACCAGACCAATGCCCCTTATCTCAAAGAGCCAGCAGCATTACGTGTGCAATGTGTTTCAGACGTAAACTTGCTTTGGCTATATCCCTTTTTTTTTTTTAAGCTTTGTGAAGCACAAATGATGCTCCATAAATTATTATTTGTTTTACTTTACATGCATTTATAAACAAAAATAATTAAAAATAGGGATACAGTAATAGGCTTACTTAATTGATCTTCATCTGCCATTGCAAGAGTGCTTGTATTTCTATTTGTTTGTATTGTGCTAAAGTGTGACATAAGTCCAGGAGAACAGCTGGAGTGACTCAGGCTAGAGATCCATCTAGTCAAATACCTGTCTCCAACAGTAATTGTCTGGGGATACATGTAGGAGCTTCAGTGGAAAAAAAATCAACAGACCAACTACATTCGTCTGTCTTTACATTAGCAACCATCCTGCTATTATAGGATGAATTCAGTGGGAGCATGGGTCTTTTTAGTAATGTAGACAGGTTAAACAACTACTCTGTAGGGAATGGAGCTGCTGTGTGCTTCCACAAAAACACTTCTTATTCTGACCTTCATTTTCATACCACATACGTGGCATTACAGATGCTGACAAGGGGAATTGTTGGTGCCTCATTTTGTTATATAGTTGTTACACCACTGTTTGTTAGTTGTTTGCATTTTTCTCAGGCAACTCATGGTTTAGCTGAAGATTTTACCAGTTACCTTTTGATCCAAAGACTAACAATCAATCAAACTTGATGCTATTCCCATTTTCATGGTTTTCCAACAATTTAATGCCATTGTTTCTATATATCATTGGTACCAGTTAGAAGAACCTGCAAAATCAGCCACATAAAATTTAGTTTACTGGATGGTTGAGAAGTTAACTTGCTCCTTAACTATCGCATATGTTATTTTGTCTTCTAGACTGTGGTGGTTCTGGCCTTTGTAAGTTGCTGGTTGCCTTCCCACATTGGCAGAATTGTATTCATAAACACCCAGGACACCAGGATGATGCTGTTCTCCCGGTTCTTTAACATATTCGTTCTGCAGCATCCGTCAACCCCACCCTCTGCAACCTCATTTCAAGGAAGTACAAGGCAACAGGCTGCAGTTGCCGCACAGAGCTGCAGAATGGGCTTTCACGGTAACAAGGGATGCTGGTGGCTACACAGAGACCAGTGCTAGCACAAGAAATGAGTATGCCACCAGCTTCTGAGACTGCATCCCTCACTTTGCCAAGCATTCTCTGCAAAGGAAGGGAACTTCCTTTTCATGGGAAAGTCATAAAAGGATGGACATTTGTCAGAGCGTGTGGTATTTTGTCACCATTTGTATTTTGAAATGCTTGTATTTTTGTTAACAAAGCGAGCAGGGACCATAAAGTAGCGAGTTGCATGATGTGAAACTCATGAAAGATAACTCAATAGGGAAAGCTAGAGTAAATTGCCAGTGAAACTGTGGTTTTGGTTTATTACACGTTCGTTGCATGTGCTCTGTGCAATTTCTAGTATTTTCTAAAAACAACATCAAGGACGCAAGGGAGGAGGGAGTTTGAGGTAGCAGCTCTGCCTGGGTGCAGTAATGAGTAAAACTCCCAGACAGCCTTTGCCATTTTAAAATGGTTTTCCTATAAAAGAAATTTTACAAAACACAGTCTTGCAAGGAGATGGATGCAAAAGAAATCACCAACCACCTTGAACATCCTGAAAAGAAGGGGGCATATATTTTTAGTACCTGGTCTTGTAATTGTGAAGGGGAGTTTCCCACGCAGTTTCACTGACTCTTCCTTTGGGAAAGCGTCTCCTCTGCGCAGCAGCCTCTGGTCTGACCCATGTGATCAAATAAGGTCTCTTACTTATATACGAGCAACCAATCCCCGCTATCCGTAAGAGTTTAGATATACTTGATCTCTTCCTCATGATAGACCCATAGTGTATGGTAAATGTCAGTGGTATGTCTCCACTGCATCATGTTATCTACTGCACCTGCAAACAATATGCCCAGTTAATCCATCTGGCCACAAACGAGACCCGTCACCAAATGTGCTGGACTGCATTACTGCTACATAACGCTGCACTGCAAGTCAAAAAACAACTCACTAATTTTCCTCCAAAGATTTTAAATACTTACTTAAACGAGAAGATTTAGGAAGAAGTGCTTGTTGCGAGGAAGACTGAGAAGGAGTTGCAGTACCAGTTTCTCTGGAGGACCATCACACCTTTGCATTTTACCTGTTACCCTCCTGAGTATAGGGATAGAAATCTGGATGAAACATCAATGAAGCGGGACTGTGCCTCACAGGAGCATCACTGGTGCTTGCCCTTGGTTATCTGTTTGTTAATGAACATGTCTATGGTTCAAAAAAGTAACAGTGGTGGTTACTGTATGCTGGGGTTTGCTGCCACATGAAGGCAGAAGTCAACATCATTGACAAGCAGAGTTGAACCTGAGGCTTCTCTGGGTTTTAAAAATGTGATCAATTCTCCGTTTAACAATCCATAGCTGTGAGTCACTGAATAAAAAAAAAAAATCTAAAGATAGAGAAAAACCCAAAAACCCTAGCTCACTGAACACACGTTAAGCTGCTGCTTCTGTCAGCTTTGTGCTGGGGAGAGTGGTTGTCTGCAGGGGTTGGCTTGGCTTGCTTTTGCTGGGGAGCTGGAGAGGCTGTCATTGAAATGTCATACGATAATAAAAGAATGGCTGGTATTTTGTTTTTGTTTGGACAAGTTATTTTTAACAGTAATCTTTGTAAATGTATGTAGACAGAGGGGAAAAAAAAGCTTTGTCACCTTGATATGTGGCTGCGCAGCCTCTTCTGCCTGCTTGTGGTCTGATGGTAAACGCTTTTCCTTTCTCAGTAGCTACTAAGTTGCGCTGGGAGATAAACACAAAAGCAATCCTATAGGTACCACAAGCACAAGGTGTGACTGGGAGGAGGGAAGTAAATACCCTGCCGCACTGAACTGCACTGCACTGAAAGAAATAACAGGGTAGAACATAGTTTTAGGGCTCTGAGACTCCATGAACCCTCTGGGAAATCTTCTGAGAGCGATGAAATGTCCCCTGAGCACAGCAAAAATGCAAGGAGTTCTCAACCAATTTCTCAGACATGTTCAAATGCAATAGGTCATTTACAATACCATTTTCAGGGAGTCAAAATGTAATAGATATGCTTCAATGAAGTGGGCAAGAACTGAACCCCCTAAAGCGCAGCGAAGATGATAGATTAAAACCAAGAAATCTGGTGACGCTGGCAGATGTGGAGGCAGGGGAAAGCCATGCCTCAATCCCCAGCAAAGTTGGTACGGACCGAGCACTTAAAATAGAAACACTAAATAAAAGTAAATAAAAAGTAAAAAAATAAACAAAAGCACAAGACATGACATAAATATGTCAGCTTTAAACCAAGTTGTTCTTCACCTTTCAGGCACTTCATGGCTTTGCCCTTTCCTTGCCAGTCATCTGTCTCTGCCCAGAGGCTGACACTGCTGCCAAGCATCCTGCGATACCCATATCCATCAGGCGGAGGGACTTCCCAGACAACAGTGTTGGTGCCCCAGCCCACTTGCACGGTTGGGAAGAGGTCTCCCCCTAAATGCCCTGGAAGCTAAACATCATCATCCTTCAAATCTCCCCTAAGGAGAGAACTCACCTTCCTTGCAATGCTTACTGAAAAGTCTCCAAACTAAGCCAGAGCTGGGTACAAGTCAGATGATACAACATTCCACAACAGTGTCCTAAACCTGGGACTTCACCAAACACCCCTGCAGTTAGCAACAAAGAACCCAAATTCAGCACAGTGAACCAGCCTGAGAGGCATCATCTGGAAGCCACTGAAATCAGTACAGAGAAGCAGAAATGCAAGCAAGATGAGAGGGTGTATTTACCTGGAATGGAAGGAGAGCCACCACCAGTGTATGGATGCTACACGAGGCACTCTGATCCCTCTGGAGGGCGGTGCGATGGCTGTATCGGAGATGACAGACACCCTGGCCAGAGTAAGAGATAAAATGCAGCAAAAGAATAAAACTAATTTTTTTTCCAGAACTTATTTAAGATATATTGGCAGAACACAAAGGATGGTGGCATCTCAGGCACCCTCGCACCCTGCCCTCCCAGGCAGCAGCCACTAACAGGTCTTACAGTTGCCACAGCAGAAGTGAGTCACCTCTGTCTGACATCATAGCTGAGTTTCTGAGAGCACTCAGGCAACTACAAATGCTTACGTTCCTGCTCGGTGAGTGTCATAAAGCCCAAGACAGCTCCACAAGACTTAGTAGCTGCCTGCTGTTACACTAGGGGTACCTGTGTACTGCAGGATTCTGCAATGTTTCCATTCTACCCTCTGAAGCTCTGCAGAGGTTGCAAAGCAATTCCAGGTAGTCTTTGAAAGGAACAAAAAAATGGCCTTGTTTCTGCTTCTGATATAAATCAAGGATACCAGAATGGACCAGCCTGCAGGTAAATTCATTATGAAGGGAAGCATAAGGACCAACAAATGTGTAGCTCCTGTACAACATGTTTTGCCCATCTTAACAAGGAACTCAGTTCCCTAATTTGAATTCAGGTCTGCTTGTTGTCTGTGCTGTGCAAATACACCCCGAAGTCAAGCTGTGTTTTTACCCTGTGAAAGCAGAGGCTGTCCACAACCACAGAAGGGGAGGAATGTGGGGAGAGGCCAGGTTTCCCTCTCTCCTGCAGCAGCTGAGCACAGCATAGAGAACATATTCTTAGTCCAGGGTTTCAATTCTGCTGATGCCAGGTCAGGCAGCATTCCCAGCCCTGGAAGTTATTTAAGGCTTGCAGGCATGACCTCTTCACAGTGCTTCATTTCGACAGACTTCAGCAGAGCCTGCCCAACTGACCCAGACAAGGGAATCACCTCATCCACTTAACCCCAGGATCCCACTCCTCCAGAGCAAGCCTGTGTGCTGACCCTAGCGCAGGGGTCAGGGCAGGAGGGCAGGCTGCTGTGTTCAGCTGCCAAGGAGGACAGAGGGGCCTTCACCCCTTGCCTTACACAGGCTCTTTATCTCAGCAATACCTTCACAAAAATGAGCTCTCTGCACACCTAGATGGAAACAAGAGACCCCTGTTCAGCAGCTATTGTGCTATCACAGGTCTGCAGAATCCATGCCTTCGGACCTAGTCCTCACACTGAGAAGCTGGGCTAAGGGAGCTGAGATAAGGCGAGCTGCTCCCACACGAAGCAGTGGCCCATTTTTCCAGCCTCCAGGAAGTTACCATGAAGATGCAGATAGGACAGCCTCCAAACACAGTTACATTTGCTCTTTCCATGCCAACTGTTGTGAAACGAGATCCCTCCTGCAGACCCTGGGAATGGTGAGGAAGCAGAAGAGGGTGGAGTTGCCTGAAAACAGTTCTGGCTGAGACAAGGCTGCCAAAGGCACAGGGAAATGCAGAAGAGCAGCAAGAGGTGGTCCCCAGAGCAGAACCTTTATACCACACAGAAGAGACCCACCCAGCCCCATTTCTTCCTCATATGCTCTATTCCCTCGTTACATGCTTCCTCTTCACTAACTGATTTGGTCTCCAGAGTCCATTTTGCAGGTGTTGGTAAGAAACAACAGCTCTTGTCAGGAGCTTGTAATAGCCAGAGTCTTCATTTTCATTTTGTTTCCTTCTTTTCAGACCCTTCTTGCTTTGTAAAGTGCATGTGTCTGCAGGGAGCAATGTGTCTCCAAGCCACCCTTCCATGTGGAAATGTCAAATATATTTCATTTGAGTCTGGGCTCTAGGAATACTGCATTTATTTCTAAACAGGGAAACCAAATTGATTTCTTGCCTCCTTGTCACTGAAACATGGGACAGAACTGTCAAAGGAGTCATAAGAGTAAGAAAAATTAACAGGTAATCTCTATTACGGAATGGGAAAAAAATCCATGTCAGACCACTTGACAGCACATATCACTGATGTCCAAAAAGACATCTTTGGAAGAAATTGTCTCTGTTGATTTGCAGACTGGAAGAACAGACTGGTTTTGTGCTGGGCAGCCTTTGGGATATTTGCACAATGGAATTATGAGTTTTATCACACGAATGACAAGGAACAAAATCCCACACCCGGGCTCAGGGGAGTTGGACTGTGAATAAATTTGGGTCACAGACCCACAAGGCAGG